CCAGTGCAGAAGCAGAATATAAAGCTATGACCTCAGCTTCCTGTGAACTTGTTTGGCTCAAGCAATTGGTTAGAGAATTACAATTTGGAGATGTCACTCAAATGACACTTGTGTGTGACAATCAAGCTACTCTTCATATTAGTTCTAATCCTGTCTTTCATGAGAGGACCAAACACATTGAGATTGACTATCATTTCATTCGAGAAAAGATTATGTCTAGAGACATCAAGACTGAGTTTGTTAACTCAAGTGATCAGTTAGTAGATATTTTTACTAAGTCTTTACGGGGGCCTAGAATTGATTATATTTATAACAAGCTTGGCACATACGATTTGTATGCTCCAACTTGAGGGGGAGTGTAGATATTGTTTAGATATTGTTAAGATATTGTTAGATATTGTTAACCACAATATCAAACAATATCTTCTGTTTATTTTGTTTACTTTCGGTTACTCTTTTAGTTGTACCTCTCTCTATTATAAATAGATTACCCTATGTGTGATTTATACACAAGGGAGATTAAATGTCAAACCGTATTTCCTTTATATTCAACATTGAACATAAACATTAAAAAATTGAAAAGTGGAAAATACTTTATTTTTTTACCATAGAAAATAAACCCAAGTGAAATCGCTATAATCACTACAAAAAAAGAGGTATTATCTACAAAAAATTACCTACGGATAAAAATCCGTAGGTAAAATGTACATTAAATACAAATATTAACTACGGAATTACTGTCCGTAGGTAATGTCATTCGTCAATATTATCCATTACCTATGGAATTACTGTCCGTGGGTAATGTTGTCCTCCATTACCTACAAAATTATTATCCGTAAGTAATACCATCCGTGGGTAATTATCCATTATCTACAAACTTACTTGTCCATAGGTAAATTACATACGGATTACAATCCGTAGGTAAATTATATCAAATTAAGAGAATTATATGAAATATATAAATATATAAATATGTAAATATGTAAATATATAAATATGTAAATATATAAATATGTAAATATATAAATATGTAAATATATAAATATATAAATATATATATATATATATAAATATATCAAAATATAAATATATTTGTATTTATATATTTTATATTTATATATTTAGACGGATAAATATAAATATAATTTATTTGTAAGTTATTAACAGAATATCTTAATAGCTTAGTGGTTGGAGTATCAGTCTCCAACTCTAAGGTACTTGAGTTTGATTCTTGCCAGTGATAATTCTCTTAATCTTATAATCATACAAACTTCTAAAAAATATATTAAATGATCATCTTTATTAGGAGCAAGAGTACTACCATTAACATGACCCATAAATCTTTACCTTTGACATATATAAATTTATAATAAATAGTTTAAAGACACATTTATTGGTTTAAGTTTATATTTTGAATGGTAAAGTATTAGGTTATCCTTTTATGTATTTGAGAATATCAATTGTTATAAATATTAGAAGATTTAAGACATAAATTTTATTATCTTGAAATTTGGAAGAAAATTTATTATTTGAAAACATAGAGAATTTTCATTTATGAGTAGAATACCATTTTATTAACAAATGAGTAAATTGATTTTTTTTTGTCAACAACAACTTTTGTCTAATAATAATGATGATGATAATGATGATGATGATAATAATAATAATAATAATAATAATAATAATAATAATAATAATAATATTTATTATTATTATAGGAGTAGAGTAAGGTCATGTATTGGTGGACTTGTCTTGTGAGAGATAAAAGAATTCATAATGAACCTGAAATGAGATATTGGAATGAACTTAGGAATGTCTTAAGAAGAAGACATGTACCATCTTATTATGATATGGAGTTAATGGACAAGCTTTAAAGATTACAACAAAGAAACATGACTACAGAAGAGTACAAGCACCAAATGGAATTACTTATGATGATGGCTAAGATTAGGGAAGAACCAAGGATAACCATTGTTAAGTTTTAAAGTGGCCTTAACCTTGAGATTAGTAATAGAGTTGAACTTTTGTCCTACACTAACTTGAATGAACTAGTTCAACTTTGTGTTAGGGTAGAGCAATAAATGAAAAGAAGGTTTACCTATATCCTGCCACTTCTACCCCAAAGTAAGACTATATAAAGGAGAGATAGCCCTCCAAATCTTGGTATGAAAAGTCACATGAAAGGGATAAAGATAAAGAAAAACAATGAAAAGAAAAGAGAAAAGCATAAAAAAAGTCTAAAGAAACTATAACTAGAGATGTCTAATGCCTTATATGTCTTGGTAGAGGATACTATGCTTCTAAGTGTCACAATAAGAAAATCATGTTTTTAAAGGATCAAAAGATTGTAAGGTAGGATGAAACTCACCTTTCACCTAGTGAATATGAAACTCTAGATTCTAAGGAGGAAGTCTTACCTTGTGATAGAGATTTACTAATCTTGAGAAGGCTTCTTAAAAGCCAATCTTTTGATCTTAAATAGTCACAAAGAGAGAATCTATTTCATGCTAGATGTGAAAATTTTGAAAACACTTGTTCCTTAATTTTGGATAATTGATCTTGCTGTGATTTTTGTAGTTCTAGGTTGGTAGATAAGCTAGTCTTAACTATTACACCCCTTCCTAAAACTTTAATGAATCAAATTTGATGGTATTATAGTCGTTAATCAACATGTGAGTATACCAATTTTTTTAAGAAAAAAAAAGATGAAGTTTTATGTGATATAGTTCCTGTGAAAGCTTGGTATATTCTACTTGGAAGCCCATGAAAATTTGATAAAGTAATAAGATAAGTTTCACTTACAAAGGTAGAACAATAGACTTATGTCCTCTCAAACCCCAACAATCTTAGAAAAATGGCCAAATTCAAGAGGGATGGATTGAACTTAAACAATTTTTCGCAAGAATTATTTTCTAGAACCAAAAACAATCTTTTCAAGAGTTAATTTTACAAGTGTTTGTATGCAAAGAACGAATAACAAGTAAAATATAGAGCAAAAGAGAGAGAAACAACATGCAAAGATTTATATTGATTCACTCAATCACTTGAGTTACATCTAATCCTTAAAAAAATCTAGCTAAGAGTTTCACTAACACCAATATTCAACTTACAAACTAGCTGAAATATCCTATCTACTATAAGATCTTCTTGAACCTCCAAGAAACACTCATAAATACAACCAGTGACCATAAACCAGTCACCCAACAACAGTATTTAATCAAAGATACTCACAAGAACAAAAAAGATACAAGAAAATTAGAAAAATATTACTTGGAAACATTATACAAATTTAAATAACCATGTAAAGAGAAGAAGAATCACATCAAAAATAAAACAAAATGCCTCGAAAAATCAATCAAAGTAGTATTGAAATCTTGCATGGTTTTTTCTCTTACAAGCTCTTTCAAATATTACTCAAAATGATTAGACGGACTGAATGTTTTAAAATGATAGAGAGAAAATTGTTAAATAGCCTTTTTTTTGTCTTTTTTAATAAATTGAATCACAATTTTAATTGATTAATTTTACTAAAAGTTTAACAAAATCAATTATTTTGTGCTTTTAATCGATTAAAATATTTCAAAACAAAAGTAAGTTCTAAAAGACTTAAGCCATTTTAATTGATAAAAAAAGGTTTAATTCTGAACTCTAAAAAATCTCACCAAGTCCAATGAGTTATTTTAACTAATAAATTTAGAGTTTATAGATTAAAATCGAACATCCTAAGAATTTGTAAGTTCCAATGGTTATTTTAACATATAAAAACTCATTGTAATCTATTAAAGCAACTTAACAAAATTTTTATTGAAAGACTCAATAGTTTTAACATATTAATTTTTTTGAAATCCATCTACATAAAAAAGGTCAAGAACATTTTAATTGGTAAAAACCATGATTTAATCGATTAATACTTTGAGTGATGTGTAGGTCTTAAGTTTTAATGAATTTAATTAATTAAATTTTAGCATGTTAAAGGAATTTTTCAACCGATTAAAACTTCTTTTAAAAAAAAATAATGTGCTTTTATATTGACGCATTTAGAAAAAAAATTGATTGATGATAAATCAAGAAAGAATTTTTTCTTACAAAAAGACATTTTAGACAAACACACAAAAAAGTAAAGAGATCTTCCATAGCTTGCATATATTGACTTCATCAAAGCAATATCTCCAAGATGCATCATATTCATCACTTTTCCCCTATTTGATGAAGACAAATACCTTATTCTTTTGTACCTGCAAAACAAAAACCCCTATTTGTTGTGTGTTCTGATAAATAATCACAACTTTCTTCCCCTTTTGACTTCATCAAAAGAGAATGAAACTTTCAATATATTATCACAACTTTCTTCCCCTTTTGACTTCATCAAAAGAGAATGAAACTTTCAATATAATAATCCACTAATAGCAATTAAGGTAGAGAAAGGTAATAATTGTGTTTAGCTTAAAAACCAATTAAATGTAGAATCAATAAGAGCTAATAAAAAAACATCATCAAAATGAGAAACGGAACAAAATGCTAGGAATTTAAGAAATGAGAGATAAAATTTTAGTTTTTTCATAGTCCTTAATTAAACTATAGATCTCCAATCCAGTTGTAGATATCATCCAACTGATTATTAATGTGTTGGAAATGTGCAATTGAATTGTCATACAACCTGTATTGTTTGACTTGTATTATGTAATTTCCATGTGCCTCCTTTGATCTTGGCTGAGAAAACTCATTTGAGACAGTATGGTTCTCTCAAACTGTGATAGAGGTGTGCCACAATCAAGTTGGGCCATATATGGGATCATATCCATAGGACATGTAGTGACAAATCTTGATTAATGGTTTAAGGGGGAGGGGACAAATAACATATTAATATAATAAATGAATATGAAAAGGTGAGAAGTCAAAGTTGTAAATATATAAATAAGTATATTGAATGATCGTTAAGTTTTAGTGGACTAAAATCATAAATATATATAAAAGTTACAAAATTTTAAGGGAGTCATGACCCCCTCAACTCCAAGAAGCTTCGCCAGTGAGGACATGGTTCTTCATTTCTTCTTTCTTCATTGGGAGTGCTAGATCTTGCACCTGGTTCCATTTCTTCTTTTTCTTCTTTAGCATTACCTAGACCAATATCTTCTTTAGGAATCCAACAATTCTCGATCTTCATAAATCTCATTTTGTGAAGTGAGTTATCAATTTCATTGGTTTGTCTCTTGGTCTCAGCGAACATCATGAGTGTCAACACCAAACTTAAGCATAAATTTGGAATTTAAGAGAGCCTAAAATAAAGAAAGTCTACCAATCCTTTGACTTTCATCATATGCTCTTTGATAACAAAGACCCAATTAACTTTGATATGGTGTTGAATGCAGTACATTAGCAACAAATCTCCTTCATTTAGAAGAGCATGATTATTTTTCCTTGATGTTAGTTGTAAAGCCACTATTATTACTACTACTACTATTATTATTATTATTATTATTATTATTATTATTATTATTATTATTATTATTATTATTATTATTATTATAAAAGACACATGGTAATAACATATAAAACTCAACTTTTAAATATAATAAAAAGATAATTATGATCTCAAATATGTAATAATGAATATTCTAACTCATGGTTTTCTCAATAGTTCTAAATATTATTTAATTCATATTATATGATGCTTTTTAAATATGTCATACATATACATTACATTGAATGATTTTTCTGTAGCTTTTAAAACTCGAGAAAATATGGATAATATGTTCTACAAAGAATTGAAAAAGAATCTTCAAAGGTAATTCATTTTTTAACATAAAAATTTGTAAATTTAATTTATTTGTATTATTATATCTTAAATTCACTAATAAAAAAATTACTTTTTTTATTATAAGTAGGTGAAATACATTTTGAATTATAGTGTTTGTTTGGTCTCCCAATCAAGGAATGAATTAAAATACACATACTATTCTAAGAAAATTTCGTCTATTCGTCATATGGCAAATTAAACTTATAAACAAAATGCATTTCAAAAACTAGAATAGCTCAGTTGGTTAGAGCGTGTGGACCTTAACCACAAGGTCGGAGGTTCAAGTTTTCTTTCTAGTGATGTTAATTTTACTTTTGTTATATAAATTATATTTTTTAGGGTAAAGTAACATAATTTTAATTTTGGGTAATTGCAAAAGTTAGTTTCACATGAAACTAATTGTTGATCAACACAAATGAAGTCGTGCATTCTTTGTTGTTTTTTTTTTCTATTCTAAGAAAGAAATGTCTTCTTCTAGCATGATAGCTTATCAAAATTTTGTTGGGAGAACACAAATGTACTATGAGATGAAAGTAAATAATAAGAACACAAAGAATGTATATAGTTCAACCAAAATGACCTATGTGCATGACTGTATTAGATGATATTTCTCATTTACATAATTAGATTTACAATTACATAAATATTTATAATAAAAGAATAAGTAAATGGGTCAATCTCAATAACTCTTTAGACTCCACATACTTAAAAGATTTTGACATCCAACATGTTCATATAAAACCCTAATTCCAATGTTGGGTATAATTGCAAAAGAATTTATACTTATGAGTGATGAAGCTTATGGGAAGAACCTTGAAAATATCTTGGAAGACTTGTTGGAAGATTTGATGAAGTCAAAAGAAGATAGTATGTTGTTGTAGTTCATTAATGTGTTTGTATTATATAGGTATAAGCATCCATCTTTTTCTCAAGCATGAGTTTCTTCCTTTTTCAAGTATAAGTGCCTCAAGAATTTTTAATCTGTTAAAAATTATTTTAATCGATTAATATGTTCTTCAACAAGGTTTTTAATTGATACATTTTCGAAATAAATGATTAAATTCACTTAAATAGCTAAAGAACTTTTTTGTTGCAATTTTAATTAATACATTCTCGAAATAATCGATTAAATTCATTTGAAGACAGAAAGAACTTTTGAATCGCAATTTTAATCAATTAAACCTTATTTTTATTAGTTAAAACGTCTCTGGAAAATATCAATAATTCTTTTAATCGATTAAACCTTGTTTTTCTCAATTAAAATGTCTTTGAAAAATGTCCAAAATTCTTTTAATCGATTAAACCTTGCTTTTATCAATTAAAATGTCTTTGAAAATATCCAACATTCTTATAATCAATTAATTTACGTTTTTATCAGTTAAAATGTTTCGGAAAAAATTGACAGAACCTTTTAAATTGATTAAAAAGCTTTTCATCGAGTTAAATTCATTTAAACTTAGTTATTTTAATTGATTAAGTTACGAATTAACTGATTAATTTTGTCAGTTTACTTCAAAAAATTTCTATATAAACAGAATATCACATACACTTCTACATATACTTTTGAGAAATCATTTAAGCAATCTTTTAAGATTTCTTCCAAGAGAGAAACACGTTTTATTCATTAGAATTCTTTTAAAATCATTCTTGAGGCTCTTTTGTTTATATTCTTGAAGAAACTCATTCTGCGATTAGATTATTGCTTCTGCATATTCACTAGATTGTTATTGTTTCTTTAAACATCTTAATCTTTCATTCTATTCTTGTAATTTTGGTGTATGAAATTGTGGACACTGGTATGAGCAACTGGAATTGTGATTGTTGTTATAAGTTTAAGAACTTGGTTGTAGTTTTTGGTATAGATTGATTTTTTACTGTTTGTATTTGTAATCAATTGAAATTTTAATTACTAGAACTCAACTAGATTGGTTGAGAATTCGATGTAGCCCAGTGGATTGAATGAACCAGTATAAATTTTGTTGTTCTTGTTCTTCTTTCATTACATTCTTTTGTTCAAGATTATTGTTCTTTGATTCAAAATAAGATTGATTTCATTAAAACTTTGAAATTGGTAATTTGTAATTAAAAGTTGGGAAAATATTTTATTAGATCAATTAACCCTTCCTTCTTAATCTTAGCCTGTATTCATAACAATGAGGATAAAGTAACATATAATTCCAATGTTGGGTATAATTTGTCCTTGTGATTATGGTAATTGCAAAAGTTAGTTTCACATGAAACTACTTTTTGATAAGCACAAATGAAGTCATGCATTCTTTGTTATTTTATGTTTTATTCTATGCAAGAAATGTCTTCTTCTAGCATGGTAGGCTATCAAGATTTCCAACATATAGAACCCATAACATAATAATCTTACCTGTTACATAAGTCGAATTTTGGGTCTATGTTTCACAACAACATTAATGTTGAACCTTTTTAACCTTTAAAATATGTAGAGGCAAGCCACTAGGTGTAATGGAATGCAAGTACTCTTGTTGGTATAAGATGCATGGGCCTCCTTCAACCTCATAAAATGAAAATAAACCATGGCTTTCTTAATGAAATTGATTGATAAATTGAGTTTTGAACATTTACATTTTTGGAGGCAATACAACTTTTGTTAAGTGGTAAAAAGTTGATATAATTATGCCTTGAATTGTTATGAAACCACTTAAATTATGTTAATTCTAATCTATTTTTCTCCCAATATAGGATGAATTTGAGAATACCTTGATACAAGAGTAAGGAGCATAATTGTCAGCATATTTGGAGTAAAACTGGAAGAAGGAAGAAGATTTTCAGCATGGAAGTCGCTCGAGCGGTGTCGCCGCCGTCAAAAGAGGCGGTCGGAGTGACGTGATGGTTTTGATATGACTCGCGTTTTTTGAAAGAAGTGGTTCAACGCCTTTAGACTGCCCGATAACTGGGCTGGACCTAAAGGCGATGTTTTCGAAAAGGTTCGAGGAGTCGCCATCAGTGTTTTAACCTTAAACACTGAAAAAGGTAAAGAAAAAGAAGAAGGCAGTGGTTTTAGAAAAAAACAACTTTGACCATTACAACCAGAGTCGGATAAGGGAGTTTGTTACGTGTGGGGAAGGTGTTAGCACCCCACAACGCCCCTTTCGGGTTCCCTATGATGGACTAACTTAGAAAATAAACACTCAAAGAAATTATGCTTTTACCCTGTTATTCTATCTACTTGTAGAATTTAAATGTCTACATGGCCCTATTATTTAATGCACACAAAGAAGGCGATAAAGAAAGCAGTAAAAAGAGAGAGAGAATAGAGAAGGAACCTCCGAAGCAAGCTTTATATTAACTCTTTGAAAACTTGAGGATGCTTTTTGGTAGTCCCCGCACTCTACAAGCACGCTCCTCCCGCAAAATAAAGAAAAGTCACTCTACCGAGGGCCAGACGTCTCAATAGGAGACTTCCTTAACCGATTTTAACTTTAACGGAAATCGGAAAGCTCACTCAAACTCCGGAATAATGCTCAGAGTCACTCTAAAGTGCCAAAAGGATTCCTAGAGAGTGGTAGGAGTGAAAAGGTGTGAAAATTCGGAGAATGGGAGCTCCTGTTTATAGGGAATCGGGCCAGGAAAAAGTGGGCGACCGTCTGGACTTAGTGGATGGTCGTCCATAGCCAAAAGTGGTCATGGACGGCCGTCCAAGCTAAGTGGACGGCCGTCCATAGCCATAAAGTTGGCATGGACGACCATCTGCTTGTCCTGGACGACCATTTGCTGTCTCCGGCGGATTTCCCGATTTTTAATGCCTCTAAAAACCCTTCCTATCTTCAATGGAACCTAGAACAAGCTACTAGGGACTTAATAAAGTCTTGACCATCTTCGAAACGGGCGATCTTCGGCTTTATTAGAGAGCCGAGCAAGATTTTGTTGAACATTCAAGGACTTGATGTTGCAAATAATGATCATGAAGAATGTTGATTTTGATGATGATCCAAGAGCTTAAAGACTTAGAGTATTGAAGATTGAAGATTGATGATTTATATATTGTAATAACTCTGTTTTAGTTTGATTGAGTCTGTAGTTATAGAGTCTAAGATAGCCGGTACATTGTCTGTAACTTAGAAGCTTCAAAATGCTCAAAATTATCATGCAGGCTCGGCTTTAATCGATTATATAGGTAAATAATCGATTAAAACAGTGAGAAAACCACTTTCTATACTAAGTCACTGTTTTAATCGATTAAAACAGCAAAATAATCGATTATTTCGTACCGTTCCGTACAGATAATCGATTATTTCACCAAATAATCGATTAAACCAGAGAGGATTGGGTTCTGCGTATTTGGCTCTGTTTTAATCGATTAAAACTCCATTTAATCGATTATTTCAGTCTGTTTCTGTTTTTAA